TGACGGGGTCACCAGGAGCCAGGCTGTCCAGAGCACAGAGCTGACACTATGGTTACCTCAGATTGACCTAGAGCCAGAGACACCACAAGCAGCGACACCTGTGTCTTCCTCACCCCCAGCAACCATGAGGGGAGAAGTGATTGTCCTTCAGGGCTACCGAATTTAGGAGAAATTTGTTCTATAGCAATCGATAAATAAGGCAGGCAGAGAGAGGGCCGTAAACAAGTCAGTGTTCTTGGGACACCTGGCTTGGTCTGTTTGGAAGAAAATGCAGGATTGGGAGGAGGAAACCATCAACTCTGGTGCCCCCCAGTTTTTTGGCTGGGGGTAAACAGCCTCTCTATACCCAAATGCTTTTACCTCCATCGCAGGTGTAATTTACCCATGAGATGTCTGTGCTGTCTGTAAATGAGAGCTGCCCTGCCGAGCTGTCCCAGCTAGACGGCAACTCTTCGAGCCCAGCTGCTGGGAGAGGGACTCTCCAGTGGGCAGCTCAGCAATGGCGGCAGGGTCTGGGTTCCAGTCCAGGCTTTCTTGTTGACCAATGAGCAGCATGAGCTTGAAAACCCCTCAACCTCCAAATCAGCCCTATCCCATGGAACCCCGGAAAGCCTCGAACGGGAGGAAGCCCACGGTGACAGGGACCCTTTGGTCCTAGTGACAGAATAGATGACCTTCAGGGCCGCTTTAGGTGTCAGAGCACTGACATTTTTAAATAGTGCTGGAGGTTTACTAGCAGCATGGGATTGCAGTTTTCTTTCACCTAACAGCTTGTTTTTAAGAACATTTTCATGTCAGAGTGAGCAAAAAAGTATGACATTAAGTCCAGTGATTCAGAAGTAGGTGAAGGCTCTGAGCCTACACTTGGGACAAGGGTGTGTGGATGTCAGCTGTGGTAAAGCCGACTGGGCCCCCTCCCCTCCGTCCCCCTGCCCCAGTCACCTCCACTCTCTGCCCAGCTGTGCCCTCTTCTGCCTCCAAAATGCTCATCCTTCCCAGGGAGCTGTGTGTGGCCAGGGTACAGGACGGGTCACCCCCAGTCTCTCCTGCTCTCTGTGGTGGGGTGACTCGGGCAGGTCAAACAGGAAAAGCCCATCTCTGCCCAGGTGACACCCGTGCTGTCCTGGGGGTCTCTGTGAGGCTAAGGACCCTCTGTCTCTGTCACCGTCCTTCTCTTCCACTTCTAGAGTCTCTTTTCTAGAGCTTTCCCTTTCCCCTCCATCCTCTTCTTATCCTTGGGAACCCAATTTCCAGTCATGGCTGGCAACCATTTCCTTGTCTCCATTTTTAAGATAGATATGAAGTAAAAACAAAGTCAGATCTCATGAAATTGCCTATATAAAATTAACACTGTTTGCAGATGATACAATACTCTATACAGAAGACCCTCAAAACTCCACAAAAGGGCATCCAGATTTACCCAATTCAGTCCCACAACTGGACACGAAACCAGCACTTGAAACCCAGAAGCATCCCTATACACAAACAACAAATACACTGAGAGAGAAATTTAGGGAAACCACACCTTTTATGGTAACACTGAGAAAAATAAAGTACTTAGGGATCAATCTAGCAAAGGAAGTAAAAGATCTTTATAGTGAATACTATGGTACTCTAAAAAATGAGATCAAAGAGAATATCAGAAAAGGGAGAGATTTATTGTTCTTAGGTAGGAAGAATCAACAGAGTGAAAATGACCATTCTCCCAAAATTATTACACAGATTAAGTAGAATCCTAATCAAAATTCCAAGAGCGTACCTCACAAAAATTAGAGAAAACAACTCTAAAATTGATTTGGAACCAGAAAAGACCTAAAAAAGCAAAAACAATCCTGAAAAACAAAGCCAAAGCAAGAGGCATCACAATCCCTGACGTTAAATCATACTACAAAGCTACTGTGATAAAAACAGCATGATGTTGACAAAGAAAAACCAGACCCAAGAATCAATGGAACAGAGTAGAGATGCAGAAACAACTCCAGACATAACAGCCACTTTAATAAATGGTGCTGGAAAACCTTGCTTCCCATATGCTGAAGACAAATATCAGACCATGTCTCTCACCATGCATTAAACTAAAGTCCGAATGGATCAGAAGAGCTAAATATCAGAACACATCCTAAATCTGCTGGTAAGCAGAGTAGGCAGGACCCTTGAAGATGACACAGGTATAGGCAAAGACTTTATGAACAAAACCCAGAGCATAATGGAAATATTACAGAGAATCAGTAAATGGGATCTCATCTTATGAAAAAGCTTTTGCACAGCAAAACAGTCACCAAGTGAAGAGACAACCCACAGAATAGGAAGAAATTTTTGCCAGCTGTTCCTTGAACAAAGGACTAATATCTAGAACATATAAAGAACCATCTCCCCCATCCAAAAAATTTTAAAGGCCCAATCTAAAAGTGGAGATCTGAGATGAATACTTAACTCCTCAAATCAAGAAGTAGAAACAGCAAATAAATATGTGAGAGAATGTTCAACATCATAGGTCACTTGAGAAATGCAAATTAAAATGAGTTTGAGATTCCATTTCACTGCAGAAAGAACAGCTATTATCTCTTTAGAAATCAACCAATAACAAATTCGGGGGGAGAAGGGACCCTTCTCCACTGTTGGTGGAAGTGTAGACTGGTGTAACCACTGTGGAAATCATTATGAAGATTCTTCATAAAGCTGGGATTGTAGGTTCCATTGGACCCAGTTGTTCCACTTTTTGGTCTCTTCCCAAGATGATTAAAAGCATGAATATGCACACCCACATTTATAGCAGCACAGTTTATAATGGCTAAGTCGCGGAAACAGCCTAAGTGCTCGTCAACCAATGAACAGATAAGGGGGATGTAGGTTTTCTATGCCATGGAGTTCCACAATGAGGGTAAAACCAAGACACTTCTAAGTAAATGGATGCACCTTAAGACCACACTCAAGTGAAATAAACTGGACACACATGTGTAAATATCATATTGTTTCTCAGAAACTGAAAGTGTAAATAAGATTCAGAGTATAAAATAGATATTATGAAATAGGACAAAAATACTTAATTGGGAAGGGGAACTAGGGAGAAGAAAGAGGGGAGGAAGGAGAGGAAAAGCAGTAATACAAAAGAAGGAAAAATGGAGGCAAAGCTTTTGTAAATGAGGAGAGGAGGAGGGATTGAAGGGAGGAGGAGAATGGGAAGAGAGTCACTGAGGTAAGCCAACTGTAGGTACAAAGTCCCTGTGATGAAAGTGACCACTATGTATATTTTAAATGTACCAATAAACAATAAAAATACTAATGTTAAATGTGAAATGAATAAACAATTATATGTACAGCATGGAGCAAATTTTGTATCAAAGATAGAAATGGAAAGAAGAGCTACCAAATTAAAACGCCCTAATATTTTAATGTTACCCATGGTTATTATTGGAGAAAAGTGATATGTTATTTTCTGTAGCCCTCAAAAACTCTTTTTTTTTGGACACTTATTAAAAGGAAGAGCAAGATTTTTTAAAAAAAGAGAAAGCCAGAAAGGGACAAAGCAAAGAAAGAGGAAAAAGACCAGGAGGAAATTCCAAGAGAGCAGGATGAGAATTAGGTAACCAACAACCTGTTCTGCTCCTTAATACTGATGAACAGGTTTTTCAAGTCTTCCTCCATCCAAGGCCTGGCTGAGCAAAATTTATATCCATCACCTCATTGGATCATCACAACCGGAAATCATTCCCATTATAAGGATGAAAAACCTGACAGTCAGAGGGAGGAAAATGCCCTGAGATCCTGCATCTCCTGACCTCTCTCTCAAACCTACCTCGCCTGCTGCAGGAGAAGGGAGAAAGGTTAAGTCATCTCTGCCAGCGAGGGGCACAACCTTTTGCAATGCTGTGTTTTTGGTGACTGTGAGAGAGATCCTGCTTGGTATTAGAAAGGCTGCAAGTATTTCCGCTAACACATACAACGAAGGAAATTTATAAAGATGTATTATGTACTCCTACCAACTCCCTACAAAGGAATGTGATCATTACATACTGCAAAGGTGGACCAATAAAAGCAAAATTTAAAAAATCACATCGAATCAAAGACAAATCATTAACATTTTGTTGGCTCTCTCTGCTCTATTTGTCTTTCTAAAAAGTTTCCCTTTGTCTTGGTTTAGACTGCCTTAACAAGATAATTAACAGTACTCAAGAACATCCCCAGTCTTAAGGTTTCTCTGGGGCTCTTCCTGTGCTGTGCTGTATTGACACACGCATATTACACTAGTGGTCACTCAGCTGCTTCTCTCTGGTGGACATAAGTGGACAGCTCAGTACCAGGCCTCTACTCTGGGGGGCCATGGCCACTGTGCTGACCATGGGGCGGAGCCCTGTCCACTGCAGGAAGCCTTCTCTGCACACTGTCAGTGGCTCTGTAGTCCCTCAAGTGACCTCCTTCCATGGCTCCACTGTGACCTCACATGACACTGGCTGGGAGCTCACCCACAGGGTGTCACTGTCCGGACCAAAGGCCGATGACAGCAATGGGACAGGACCGGAAATTATTCCCACCTCGCAGAATGCTGAGGGTCCCTCAGGTTCCTAAGTGGGGAATTCTCTGCCAGGGTGTGTGTGTGTGTGCATTTTTATTTACTTTTTTATTTTACTTTTTCCCCTATTGTGTCAAAGAGATTTCTGTTTTAGAATTTAGTCCCATTTAGCAAATCAAACAGTTAAATTTGAATTTCAGATAAACATACATTTTTTGGTGTATTTCGTGCAGTATCTGTATGTGTGACCTGAATACTGCATGAATCATACTAAAACACTGAGACTTATCTGAAACTCAAACTGGAGGATCCTATACTGCATCTGGCAGTCGCATTTCTACGGAACGCGAAGTCGCCCTTCATTGGAGATCTGCCTCAGTCTCCCCACCTGGCGTGTTCATCCTTATAATAGTGCTAAAGCACAGGTGTTGCTAATTCCCTTCTATAGGCACAAGCCTCTGGGAGCCAAGGTCAAGGGCGGGAGGCCGGAAGGGGGCTTAAACCCGGCTGCCGCAGGCTGGGACCTGGGTCTCCCTCCGGACGGTGGTGCCCTAGACCCCACCGGACCCCGCTGGACCCCGCTGGACCCCCTACAGGGACCCGGTCTGGTTACAGGCCCATAGATTTTAACAGGACAGGGTCCGGCTGAAGACCATTTCTATTAAAACGAGGTGGACGCGAAAGGGGCGGCTGCTCTTCTCCACACTCCGGGAAACAGAAGCACCGTGTCCCCGCAAGGCCCCGAAGGCCCCACGCGCCGGTCACCCCGGAAACGCATCCGGGGCTGGGCCCGGCTCGCAGGTTCGCGGTGAGACGCTGCCCCCTGCCGGCCGCGCGCGGCGCTCCCGGAGCTGGGGAGCTAGCTCCTCCCGGAAACCCGGTGCTCGGCGCTGTGCTGCTTTGGTGGAAGAGGCGGCAGGACCAGGACCCCGCGCCGGCCTCAGGCCTCGGAGCCCAGCATCTCCAGGAGGTCTGAGGGAAGAGCCTCGTCAGCGGGGTGGGCACCAGGCACGGGGGTAGGCATCAGACATCAGGGTGCATCGGGCATCATCAGGTGGCACAGGGTGTCAGGGTGCATCGGGAATCAGGTGTGCCTAGGACATCATCGGGGGACACAAAGCATCAGGGAACATCGAACACCATCAGGTGTACACCGGGCATCATCAGGTGGGCATGGCATCAGGTGGGCACCGGGCGTCGGGTGGGCACAGGGCTGACCTCTCCGGACTCCCTGTTCTCCGTTTGTCTGCCGTGGAACCTCGAGTGTGTTAGCAGTGTTCTCTGTCAGCTGATGAGCACGGAGCAGACCCGGGTCAGGACACAGCTGGAAAGGGTGACAACTGTGCCCGCCTGAGTCCAGGCTGAGTTCCTCCACCCTGCGTGCGTTCGGCCTCTGCAGCAGCCCTAACCCGGGCACCTGGGCCTCCGCGTCTGTGGTTTGTTAGCGAGCCTTAACAAGGCTCGCTGTGCCTTGTTAAGGCCGCCGGGTGAAGTGAGCGATGCCTACCAAGCTGGCAGAGCCCTAGAAGTCAGACTTAACGCGTGGGAACTTGCACTGGATGAGTAGGCGCGGCGCAGCTGTGCACAGCCTAGTATCAACTACTGTAGTTTTGGAACAGAAATGTCAACACTACAGACGGAAAAAGTCCAAATCTGAAGGTTCGTAGTGTCGTCCCACCAAGTTCCTGTGTAGAAACATTGTTCCCAAGGTGATGGTTTTAGGTGGGCATGTTTAGGCCTCCGGAGTGGGAGCCTAATCAGTGGAATTAGTGCCTTTATAAAAAGGTGTCCCGTGAGATTGCCTGCCCCTTCCACTTTGTGAATTCACAACAGAAAGACATTCTGTACTCCTAGGGAAGGAAGCCTGCACTGACTCTCCTGGTGTCTCCAGGAGCTAGGGCTCTGGAAAACTGATTTCTGTTGTTTCTAGGCTACCCACGAACCCTATAGCATTTTGTAACTCAAATGGACTAAAATATAAAATATAAAAATAGTTTCTTTTTCTAACTATCATTATTTTTAGCCAAGTTTTGGCTAATGGCAAAACACCTGTACACATTCATCCAAATTTTAGAGCTATGTAATTTTTTGAGGAAATCAATGATTTCCCCATAAAGATAATTTGGAATACAAACTTTAGAAAAAAAATTGTGAACCTATGAAATTCATGCCAGTGGTAATATGTAACTTGTTTTATTGAAAAACTGAAAAAAGCTTTAAAATGTATCAATACAGTAGAATATCAAAAAAGATTATGGCATCTGCACCTCATTATAAATGATTCAGAATACCCAGCTTCCTAAAATATATGCAACTCTCCTCTTCCGCACTCCAGACTTGACTGTTCTCTGATGACTGAGGGAACAACAGGAGCTGCTGATGCTTTAATTGTCACTTTGAGCACGGGATTATAAATCACAAATCCGAGCCAGTGATATACCTTTAACAACCCAGGAAGTTAATTAATTTAGACCAAGCTATTAAAAAGTTCTGTTCATTTGACTTAGGACAGAGTTCTAGCTAAGGATGCATAGAATTATAGAGAGAGAGCTTCGAGTGTTCAACAGTTTCACTAGGCTAAATGCTTTAAAAATGACAGTCAATAAAAACACCAAAGATAATGATTAAAGCCTTCTTTTTCCTATAGAATTTACAGCAAAGACTGCAGACCAGCCTACATGAGTCTAGAGGAGGTTCATTTAGGTCCCTGAGAACTTTTGGAGAAGATTCTGGAAGGAATTAAAAGAGCAGAAACGAAGATGTAGCTGAGGGTCACAGATGTTTGCTCTCTTTTCTTAAAATATATAGAAGTTCCCAAGGGTGTGAGTTTTAACTGAGCCATGTGACATCTGAACTTGTTGGAATTCTCCAAGGAACAGAGCTAGCTCTTCACTGGGTCTCTACCGAGGATTCAAACACTGGGCAATGGCAGGTAAAAAGAGATTTACAGAATTGGAAAGTGTGGTTTTGATCTTGGATGTACTAGGGTTAGAGTTAGGGTACTAGGTTCAGATACACAGTTCTGCTTGTCTTGGTCTTTGGCTTGGGTTTTCTTGCATGTTGGTTGCATTGTGAGGCACAGACTAGGAGGTTACAGATTGAGGGCAGATGCGCAGAACTTCATGAGAAACCAGCCTCTGTCTTGCTGTACTTCCAGCTGGGCTGTGTTTTGTTTTGTTTTGTTTTGTTTGTTCGTTTTTTTGGCCTTTATTGGCCCGGTTGGTCATGTGGCCACCCTGGAAATATTTGCTAAGGTTAGGGGTGCTGCCTGCATGCTCAGAGGCCTTGGTGATAACACCCACACTGGGGACCTTGAAGTGAGGTCCACCCTGTCAGAACCATGTGGGCTGGGAAGGGCGCGTCTCAGTCCTACAGTGTGATACCGGGGAAACTGATCCTTGGACACCACGGAATGTTAAGTGATGTGGAGGAAACAGAAATCAACCAAAAACCCAAAGAAGATTCCAGAATGTTCCAAGGGGACTGCATGTATTTGAACAAGATAAATGAGTCAAATATGACATTGCTTTATATTTGATTGACTCACCTCCAATAAGGTAAAGAAAATATAGATTTTTCTGGGAATTAATTTGGAATATAATTAGTAACTGTTTTAGTTAAGATGCATCTACTGTATGTGTATGTGTGATGTTGCCTCAAAATCTGATCAAATAAAAGCTAATACTATTAATACTTTCACAGCAACATCTAGTTAGGGAAACCTTGCTTCAAAGTAAAAAAGAACTAATCCCTGGCTTCAATCTCTTGTAAACATCCTCAGCCTAAGCAAGAGGAGGGCACCAGGAGGGTGTGGCTGCTACACTGCCCTCTGGGAGTGGTAGCTGTTTACAGCAGAAAGGAGAAACAGAGGCCTGTCCTTCTCACTTTTACCCTTGTTGTTTTGCTGTCTTCTGCCCCCTGGAAGTGTTGTCCCTGGGCCACTCCACCCTGCCTGGGAACCAGCTGCTTACAGACTGAAGCCTCTATAAACTGTGAGCTCAACAAACCTTTCCTTCATTTTGGGTATTGGGTATTTTGTCTTGGTAATGAGAGTAAAGAAACCAAGAAAAAGCCTTTGGGGTTCAGCCTTATCTAAGCCCTAACTTCCTGTCTATACTTACAGTTATCTCCTGGAGATGATGACTATATTGGCCTTAGGGCTGATCCCCCCAGGAAGACTGTATTTGACCTGGGACCTGGGGGAAAGAATGCTGTGAGCAGAAGCAACAGGAAGCAGCTTGGTTTCAGCATTACCCCGACTTTGCAGTTGTGGAGAGAAAGACGGGGCACAGATTCTGGTTCACGTTATTAGGCTATGTATGAGTGCTGTAACCCACTGTATTGTTAGGGTTCAGAACAAACTCAGTATAAATATGCATGATTATATATGAAGGGTCATGAAGTAGGCGTAGAGGATCAAAATTGGGAAGACTCGGGGCTGTCTGCTGGGCCATAGCCAGAAGTGTCCAAAATGGCCATCTGTACACCGGAGAGCCAAAGGGATCCAGTAGCAGTGGAAGATGAAAGGTCTGAAGAATCACCATGAGGACTGATGTGAGTCTGCCGTAGAGAGCTGGTGTCTGTGTTAGAAAGCTGAAATCTTTGCTGGGTGCCTGAATAAACTGGGGAGGATCATCTAAAGGCCACAGCAAAGGCCAGAGCTCCTCCTCCAAAGGAAAGGGCAGGCGTCCTTCTTTCCCTTTTTATTCTGTCCAGGTTACAAGCCTATTGGTTGGTGCCACCCACAGCCTAGCAGGTCATCCCCTAAGTTTGTGGCCCACCAGGTAGCCATCTGTAGACACATCTAGAGCTTATTAATCTGCACGTCAAACTGACACATCACAGCTAGCCAACACAGAAAGGATTTGTCACTGTTTGCAAACAACATAGTCTAAGTAGATTAGAGCAACTCTTTAAAAATACCTATACTTATTTGCTTACTGCTACAGTTTGGAGCTGGAATGTGTCGGAAAGGCTCATGTGTAAGTCCTGGTCTCCTGATTGGTGCCACAGGGAGGTGGTGGAACCCTTCAGAGGCCAATCTAGTAGGGGGTTCTGGTCACTGCACATGTGCTCCTAAAGGGGACACAGTTGGGCCTGGCCTCCTCCTCTTGTCTTTTGTTTCCCAGCCATGAGTTGAGTGACTTTGCCCCCGCCCTCACACAGTGCTGCAAAGCAGTGAGGTCACCAAGCGTGGCCTGGAGCCTCTAAAACTGAGAGCCCAGTGAACCTTTTTGCATTATAAGCCCATAGTCTCGGGTGCTGGCTCCAGTGATAGGAAGAGGCCTCACACACTTGCAGTGATATGAAATGAAGTTTTTTAATCATGAAGTGTTTAGCAAAGAAATCATTCCTTTGTGGTTTCAAGAAAAGAACAAAACTACATTGCTGTACCACTACCTAGGGCTGTGATAAAATACTTTCAAATTTTAAATTATTTTAAGTTTGTTTTTTTGCATTTAAACATGTATTAGTTCAATCGATTTTAATACTCTGATGTAACTGGTAAATCTTTGATTTCTGAAAGTCAAGTTATATTTATAAGATTGGTCAATACTATTATGCATAACCTACTACTGGAGATATATACTCTGCAGAAACCCATGACACCCTCAAATTAACTGTTCAGTGGTATTTGATGATTCCTTAAAAAAAAGATGAATAAAACATGGTGGAACACGCCTGCAATCCCAGCACTCTGGGAAGCTAAGACAGGAGGATAGCACATTCAAACTCAGCCTAGGCAATTTTGTGACTTAGTCAGATCTTTCTAGAATAAAATATAAAAAGGCTTAGAGGTGCAGTTTAGTGTAAAGTACCTGGGTTTAATCCCTAATATCCCCCTGCACTGCATTCTTTCTCCAAAGTAGCTCTATCTGAAAAACAGTTCAACGTGGTCTGTGTGTAGAATTGTCTGTGTGTATTTGTGTTCTCTCTCATATTCTTAAAACAATAAAGCCACTATAGTTGATGCCTGCTGGGCAAGGCTGAAGGATGCTAAAAGGACATTACTCTGAAGAATTTTTAAAAACTGCAGTGGGGTATTATGGAATTATGTGTTCATAGTTTAAGTCAGAAATGAAGGGATTAAGCCAAAGTAGCAGTCATAGTTTATTTTCACAAAGACACCAGCAGATGTCAGCAAACACTGGGGTGTCACGGGTTTACACAGGGATTCTCAGGTGTTCCTAAGCGGGGTGACTGTGATGCAGGGAGACCCTCATGCGCCTTCCTGTGACCCATCCATGACTTCTGGGGTGGGAGCAAGTACACTCTCCGTCCCACGGTGCCTCATCAGGGATCCACAGAGAGGCTGAGTCTGCAGGGCACCCACGGCTTTTCCAAGGACAGAACTGTTGTTTGTTACAAAGAGAGCGAACCACCTACAGCACCATCTGGCAGACCAAAGTACAGATGAGACAGCCATGCTTTCAAAATTCAAATGCTTTCCAGAGGATTGTGCACTGCAGACTCAGTGCAGAGGTCTGTGCTTGGGGCGCTTGGGGGAAGACTAGGGCTGCATTTCCCCGAGGTCAGCTCTCTCCTTCTCAGCCTTTCACAGGAGTCTCCGAGTTCTGCGGGGCTGAGAAAGATGCTAAAACTTGCTGCTGTTGCATATTGAGCAACAAATTATCATGTGTATGTACTCAAGGCTTATTGCAAAATTTGCTAAAATCACTGCTTGAATCCAAGCCAGAAGCACAGTTCTAAAAAGACTGTTAGGGAGGGAACAGCTTGTTATATATAAGGAAGGCAACACAGTATTTTATGCACAGGATAATTCTATGTGTCATATGCCAGAGGTAAACAGCTGTTTTTTTTAGATGCTACTTGAAAGACAACAGGCATAACATCAAGCAGGATAACCTTTATTCTGTTCAAATGTACAAACACACTTTTGCTTTGCTTGTGGCCTACTCAATGAGTCCAGGGTTTGTGGTCTTGCATTAACTTTCCTCCTGGGACCTGCACAGAGCATAGGGGTTTATTTCACTTTTCTCTGCTTTTTAGATAGAAAAAATCCTAAAGTAATTTAGCCACTGTGAATATTTATGTAAAATATGAAAGTGATCCAAGTCTCACTGTATTCCAGATTTCTGTAATTTGAAATAACAGAATGTACCTGAAGAACAAGTATTAGCAAAATTGTTTAAGAAATTTTCTCATTAGTCTTTCAAAAATGTAACACAGATCTGCTTTAAGGAATGCTGAAATACAGCTGTTTAAAATCATTTATTCTGTGGGAAATATATTTCTATTTTAAGCAAAAAGAAAGTCTAAGATGCTAACGTATTCCTCTGAGGAGCCTAAGCAAAGTACACTACTAGTTTGTATTTAAAAGTAAAGACTAAAACCTAATAATCCTACTTAAGATAAAAATGGTTTGTATCTGTGTAAAAAATATTTCCTTAATTCAGAAAAAAAAAAACCCTAAACAATCTACATCTAATTTCAGTAAGTAAAGTCAAAATATTCTTTTTTGTCAGGGGTGAGTTGGAACATGATCAGGGAAGTGATCTTCTGTTAGTCAAGTCAGTGAAAATTGTAACTGACATGCCATTTAAGTATCTTAGCATTTTCCTGTCTCTGGAGTAAAATACCTGACATCTTCAAGAAAAGTTTCATTTATTTTGGGTTGTGGTTTCAGTCTACAGTTGTTTAACTCCAAGGCAGAACAGCCTGGGGGTTTCAGCCCAACCCACAGCAGGCAGGAAGCTGAGGGGGCAGGGAGGAACTGAGAACAGGAACACAGTGGTCCGCTGGGACCCCAGGGCCCACATATCCTCCTTAGATAGATCACCCTGCCTAAGAGCAGGTCCAGCCCTTCACTCACCAGTGGATTATGGCAAGGTAGGCATAGTGCCCCGTGGACCCAGCCCCCTTCCAAAATCCCCACCTCTAAACATGCAGACTTCTGGGGCTGCTACATCCGACTTGTTACAAATCCCTAAGCTGAAAAGAGCCTCCTGTCATAGTAAACCAGTGCTGGCCTTCCGGAAAGATGGTGAGGGGTGAGCAGCTGAGAAGGAGTGTCTCTGGGATGTGGGATGTGGTGTTCAGATGCTGGAAAACAGCCATGTGAGGAGAAGGGCAGTGGGTCCCAGAACCCCAGTCAGGACCTGAAGCAAGAATTGAAGCTTTGGGAGAGCAGAGAGAAATTTCAACACAAGAGGAGGAGGAAATCAACCAAGCAGGGGTGGCAGGCAGTGTTTTCTTCCCCGAAGAAAACTGCATGGGAGGACAGCTCAAACATGCAGTGCAGGGCTATTGGTGAGGACCCCAGAGACCCCTGGAGCAACGCATCAGCGGACTAGAGCAGTAGGTACGGTGGACTGCAGTGGTGGGTGTTATTTGGGTTCAGACATCTCCAGAAGAGGGTGACTGGCCAGGAGCCATTGTGGAGGAGCCAGCTGGGCTAGAACTCAGAACAACTGTGGGCCACCTCCATCTAGGGGCCCCCAGTGTCGAGGTGGGAGATACCAGTCATGCTGGCAGGGAGCCAGGACTGGGACGGGAGGCCTGCTGCAGGTTGACCAAGTCTGGCTCCAGCCCCAGGACCAGAAACCAGCCTGACCTTCCACAACCCTGCCGCAAAGCCACAGCTGGCCTGCTGGGGTTAACCAGCTGGGATCTGGATGCTGTCTGCCCACACCGGCTTCCAGGGACACCACAGCCACACCCTGAAGTGGACATTTATTTTTTGTCTGTGTGTATGAGTGTGAACATGGTTTCTGGTCTTTTCCTGTTGTTATACTATTCTTCTGTTCGTAAGTTCTTTTCTTTTTCCCTCTGGTCTTCTTCACCAGTTTCCAGAAGTCTGCAGGACCCTCCTTGTCCTCCAGCCTTCCTTCTAATTTCCTCCTCTTTTGTTTCTCTATTTCCCTCCTAACCCCTTTTAAATTTTCTCCACTGTATAAAGGGCTGCATACTGCATACTATTTTGTGGTGTTAGATTTTTTTTTTAGATAACCACAAATCTAGTTCTGATGGTTAAAGGCAGCAAATTAATGGTTACCTCAGTTTGTCAATTTCTAGACTTTGTTTGACGCTATTTTTATTGCTGATTGTATGAGTTTAGCCTGACTGAGATAGTTGTTTTTCCTGGATACCGATATTGCTAAGGGTCATAAAAAATACCACAGGTCAGTTCCTAAGAACCAAGGATTGGCCAGGCAGGCAGCAAGTTCTCATCCCCGACAAGCTGAAGAGAAGGCACCTTGCAACAGACTCAAAACCCTCAATCTAGCTACACCTGGAAGACCCTTGTGAGAAGTAGTCATTTCCTATGAGGTCTAAATGCTAGCAATAAAGATATTCACCACAGGCGATTCACAAGCATCAGCCCACAGGAATTTACAAAAAAAAAAAAAAAAAAAAAAAAAAAAAAAAGAGAGAGAGAGAGAGAGAAAACACTTAAGATGCAACCCCAGACTTCCAGCTCACCAAAGGCAAACCTAGGGTCAGTGAGCTGGAACAATCTGAAAGCCACCACCTGGCCTCTCTGAAGTAGTGCTAGTGGAAATAACAAAGCAAACGAATGAGACTCCAGAAAAAATCAAACTGGAAATAATTTCTCTTAACTACAGAGATGTGATGATAATGAAGGACACTCATTAACTCTTCAGGAGATACAGATACAAAACGAAATAGAGGCACTTGGGAAAATGATGGAAACCAAGAATACCCAACATAGGAAAGAAATGGAATCTTATGAAACAGATTCAAACAGATATCCAGGAGACTGAAAATTCCACTGAAAGTGCAGTGGACAGCATTTCCGATATAAAAGAACAGGACTGCAGTTAGCGATCTTGAAAACAAAGCTTTCTTAAACACAGTAAGAGACCACAAGAAAATCCAACAGCTGCTAGACAATGCAAAGAATAATGGGAGGTTGATTAGAGTCAATGAAAAAAGCAGGAGATAACACAAATGACATGAAAACCTATTCACAGAAGTCATGGCAGAAAACTTCCCTGAAAGGAAAAAGAATTTGACATACAGATACATCTAGAACTCTAATAATCCATGATTAAAAAAATCTACAACAAAGCATACAGTAGTCAAGATCCCAGAAATTCAACACAAGGACAGAATAGGAAAAGCTGTTAGAAGTAGGAAATGAATCACCTGTTAAAGAAAGTCTATCAGAATCACAGCAGATGTCTCAACACAAACCAAGTCAAGGACATCTTGGAGTGAAGTATTTCAAGCCCTAAAAGAAAACAACTTCCAGTCTAGATTGATGTACCCTGCAAAACTATCTTTCAGAACTGACAGAGAAATAATACTTCCATGAAAAAGAACAAGGAAATTCAACAGTCAACCAGCACTCTGTAAGATTCTGAAGATCATTCTAGAAATAGGTAACAAGGATTACAGTTCCATGAACCCCAACAACATAAAACCACCAGGCAAGGCAATTAAAGAGTGAGGAAAAAAGAAGCCAACAACAGGAAAATAGTGCCTAAAGAAAAAAAAAATGGATTTCTGGTGGCCAATTCAAATTGACCATGCAGTGTGTCGATAAGAGGGGTGTGGTGGAGCACGTGTGGAGGCTAAAGCAAGGGGATTAATCCGGAGTTCAAGTCCAGCCTGAGCAACAGAGTGGCTTCATGAGACCCTGTCTCAAAATAAAGGGCTGGGGATACAGCTCAGTGTGAGGGTGCTGGGTTCAATCTCCAGAACTAAAAACAAAACTTTCTCAACAACTATAAACTGGCTAAAAGTTGATGTGATTAACTGAAGTCCTATTTTAGAGGAAACAAAAATTGAAAATGTCTGAGACACATTTAATGTTAAGAGCTTCTAGACAAAATGGTATGGTAGGAAGACGACTCAAAAACACAGGAGTGTACAGGGAAAGATCCTATGTGCCCATTCTTCACACAGCACCCATACAAATTCATACACCAAGATTCAACTTCCAAAGAATGTATTACCCAGTGCCTCTCCACGTTTACATTATCATGTTCTTAATGTACTTCTAGACTCCTCAATCCTAGTAAATCCCTCCATACAACTGCATTATCACAGATAGAATATATGTTTATGTATTTTACACTTGTGCTTTGTAGCTCTTTGTTCTTGAAAATAAACTTTTGCAAAGAATGTGTAATATAAACAGTGAAAGGCTCAGGCACTAAAACATTTCTCTGAAACCAGAAATCACTTAGCACTTAGGCATAGAGATTATTTCCACAATTGCTTAACGCTCAACAGGTCAGCTGTATTCAAATCGACTTTCCCTGAAACAGGCACTGTTCTCAGGTATGTGGACCCCTCATTTATATGGTGTGTGGGACCCTGGAAATAAGTGATGCAAATTAGGACTGACCTGTAACCTTTCAAAATCCGAAATAGTAAAAACTCTCCACTATGAATGTAAAAAAAGGCAGGCTTAACCACTGAGAATTAAGTGTTTTCCCCAGTACTGGGACTGAGCCCAGGGATTCTGCACCAGTTGTAGCCCCAGCATTTGCTTTTCTATTTTGAGACAGGGTCTAAGATGCTATGCTGCCCGCAGTGAGGTGCTTGTCCACTCTGCTAAGTAACTCACATCGTTGAGGACACACGTTTTCCACCTCAGTTACCTGTCCTACTCCTCTAAGTTTGCATCGGCTTCCACCATTTTGTTTGTGCTGATAGTGATGTGCACAGTTTCTGGATTCACAGGAAGTACTCTTACTGGGAAGCTCTGTGTGATCACTTCAGAGACAAAGTCATCTTCATGAAAACCCCTGTCCTCATTTATTTTGGTGAGTGTGCCTTCCCCAAGTCCCGCTAGATGCCAATCTATCATCCCCAGGACAGTGGCAGTTATCAGTACTTCTATGCTTAGTAATTTCTACTACCCCGTTTATATTCCACTGACTTTACCTCCTGTTTACTTCTTTGTGGCACCTCCATCTTCAATGACCAATTCTTTACATTATTCACTTGGCAAAACATCATGTGTGTGACAAAGAGACAACACGACTGTGTAACTGCTTTGCTGAGTAAACTGAGCAACAGCCACATGGGACCAATCACTGAGAATCTGACAGGATGGTCGGTTCCTTACTGTAAGACAAATCTGTGACCTGCCTGATCCTGGAACCTGTCAGCCAGAACTCTGAGACAGGTGTTAGGGGGCTGCTATCTGTGACTGGGACCTGGGTACTGGACTTGGTGCTCACAGGGACCGTGGAAGGTGAGGGCTGCCTGCCCTTGTCCAGCTGGTGCTGACCTGCACGGGCGTGAAGCTGAGTGCTGAGAAACAGGCTGCCTAAACCTACAGATGACCCCAGGACATCCGAACACATTAGTGCCCACTGAGGTGGTTTTCAACTGTTTATTACTTGACCATCAAGCTTACAGCGTACCTGGAGGAAGAGCAGAATTTCAGGAAGGTCCACAGCTCGGCCACATGAGTCACCCGGCGTGCTTATTATGGATTATCTCTCCCCCCTCGATCTCTATCTGCTCATAGAGCCACTTGCGGTCACAGCGGCACTCGGCCCCGCACTTGGTGGAGCCGCAGGCCGGGCAGGCATAGAAGCAGCCCAGGCAGTCCTCGTCCAGGCAGTCGCAGAGGTCCATGCCGCTGAAGATGAGCAGCCCCTGGCTGTCGTACACCTTGCTCTTGGCGGGAATGACCTGCCTGCAAGAGAAACGCGCTGGCTGGCACCTCACACCCTGGCTGTGCATCCCCAGCTCCATGGGGCTAATGGAAGGCAGAGGAGGAGGCGACACACGGCCTGGGCATGTGCCCTGTGAGAGTGCCCCCACCCTCCTGGGCTACAGAAACCTGAAAGCCTGCCTGTGCCTGAGCTGTCAACTCAACAAAACGGGAAGAGCTTCCCCCCAAATCAGGTTCTGTTTTTCCTTTTACTATAGTTCACCACAGCTCATTTTACTGGCTATTAGTCTCTTCGGTGCTTTATGAATGTTAAGGTTTTATTTTGATCACAGTGTATTACCTTACTTGTTCTTATAACATAACCAACTTCTTATTCTTTAATGACCTCTAATAAACCTGGCCTAAAGTATCACTTCATGGAAAACTTTAATAGGTGGAGTAAATGCAGTACTGACACATGCAGACTGCACTTAAAAAATAATTCTGAATGTTACACTGCTAATATTTGTTTGCAAATTTAAAGTCTTAAACAAATTAATTCTGTTTCTGTTGACAGTAACAGAACGGTTTGTTTCAGAAGGGAACAGATAAAAAGGGATCCTGTATTTCCAACTGCCTGCTGGCAGGGACCCACAGAGCAGACCTGTCAATAACGCACTGTCACTGCCTTCCACGAGCATGGCCTTAGCTTCTGGGTGTGTGTTTCTGCTGTATCTCGCCCACTTCACTGCTACCTCCTTAGAAACAAACCTTGTGAGTTTCAATTTAAATGAATAAAATCAAGATGGACTTTTGGAGCTTTTTAAAAAAAATATTAATTACTTGTTATCCTATTTAAAATGTTTACGCAGAAAACAACGTTAAAGACAAATACGGAGCGAGGCAGCCCAAGGCCCACCTGTCTGAACCAGCAGGTGCGTTTTTCGTGAGCCTTCTCTTTTCCCTTTTACCAGTTTCCGCAGCAAATTCGGTTTGCTTTCCTGGGTTTGCAAACTGGAGAGACCGCAAAGCCTTAGCAGCTCTTCCCTGAATAAAGGTAAGCAAACAAGCAATTCAGATGCTGACATCAGACCACAAGTAAGCATTTTACTATTAACCCAGGTTATTCCGTAGCCGGGGACACAGGGATGGACGGATGGATGGACACACAGACACATACACACCCCTCAAGAGAAAGGTGTCAGAGGCCAAGTGCAGGAAAATTTACACGACTGTGGACTACATCCCAACATTTTGTGTGCAGACAGCATGTTCGTTACTCAAATCCTAGTTTCTGGGACAGAGGAGCAGCAGACAGCTGGTACAGAAGGAACTGCCCCAGCTGCCGTCCCCGCAGAAGGGAGGCAGAGAAACTGTGGCGCCAAGGACGGAATGTCCAGGCTTCTAGGATAGTCTGTGTCCTTCAGAGTTGGGAACACGATTACAGATCCTGAAACTGTGTGACCACACACAATTCAGTGCTTACGTTCCTTTCTTGGGGGGGGGAGGGGTATTTCCCAGTGTTTGTACAGACACGTGGTCAGCACTGTGGTAAAGGATGGGTGGGAAGCAAAAGAGATGAGGAGGCAAAGACAAGGAAAGCACGAGTGGGTCAGCAAGGAGAAAGGACAAGGATGTGCTCGCACATGGACCGACTCCCCACGTGATGTAACCATCACACACTGCAAACAGGGACCACTCGTAAAGATCAAAACTTTAAGACAAGACAACAGACTCGAGACAATGCTGGGTCCTGGAGATGTGCCTGTGAGAGGAGAACAACAGGGAATGACACATAGCATTAAAAATACCAGTTATTTCTTTAATTTGGTTTACTAAAAGGGAAAAAATTGAAAAACTATTCCAGCAAAGAATTATGAAATGATGGTTATGGAAAAAATGTTGAGGCCTGTCCTTAAGGCACTTGTTTGTCCTTGTTCCACATGGAAGACAGTGCTGTGGAATCTCAGGCTGTCCTGAGTTCAAGGTTAAATGGTGCAGGCCTCTGAAGAGGGAAGAGAGGCATCAACACTAACACCTGGCGGTGAGCTCTCTGACCACAGCGGGTCCCGGAATGAGCCCTGGCCAGAACAACAGCTGGATGCAAGTCAAAGTCACAAGTAGGTAAAAATGCAAAGAGAATGGGATAGTACCCAAGGAGAAAGACTGAAATGAAAATCAAGATTACAAATCACTTCTTTGATCTCCTTTTAAAGCAGTGGCCTCCAACCTTCCTAAAAAGTTTTTCCCAGTACACAGTGCCTTGCTGGCTGGCATGTTAAGATTACTTACTTCGGTATTAGAACAGAATCCAAGGTACACCAGCCCTGGTTTTCAGCAAGTTCTAGAAGACCCTGGGAATACCTATGCACTAGGAGCTGTAGCACAGGGCTCCATGCTCACCAGCTCATTCTCCCCTCCACCTACTTCACCACACTGTCTTAGCCTTGGGTACAGGAAATCACTGTGAATCACCATCTCCCCCCACCCCATTTAAAACGCACATTTGCTAGCAAATGATAATGCGAATGATTTCCTTTCTGGTGGCTGAACTTCCACACTGTAGAAGTCCCCTGGTAGAAAGAATGACGGCTACACGTACATCAGACTCTGGCTTCTTCCGCTGGCGGTCCTCAGAATCCACGTCTACACTTCCATTGATGATCTGTGTACACTTTGGACAAAGCTTCCAACCAGGCACCAGCTGCCTTCCGAATTTTGCACTCAGAAAAGTGGCATCATCCAAGTCAATGACGTGCAGGTTTTTTTTGGCCAGCTTCTTATGGATGTTGAATGGGTCACAACAGGACTTCTGCAAATCCTCGAACCTGTCGATGTAAATTTTGACGTGATGGAAGCAGATTGTGTTGTTCCCGGACAACGTCATCCCAGTCCGGAGCTGAAGCAGCAGCATGTCATTTGAGGACAGCTCCTGCAATGTCTTGAAGCCCGTGTGGCGCGTGTAGTAGGTCTTGTGGCACTCGTTTGTGGTACGGAGCTGGACTCCGACGGAGCACGGGTCCATCATTCTGAATCCGGGGGAACTCCCCTGTGCTGCTCTATCTGGGTCTCAAGCTGATCACCCTGGAGAAGCAGGAAAGACAGGGTGTGAACACTTCGATCTGGGAAGCGGAAAAAGCATTTGATAAAACTCAACAGTTCTTTAAAGGAAAGAAAACTTTCAGAGAAGTCACAGAAGCCAGTAATTAACAATATTTATTTACTCATGGTACTGGAGGTGGAGCCCTGGAGTGCTCTATTGATAAGCTACATCACCAGCCCTTTTTATTTTTTAAGACCAAGCTTCACTAAGACGCCTTAAGCCTGGCTAAACATTATTATATTCATTCATCAAATATTAAATGCACCCTGTAGAATTAAAACTATACATGAACTCTTACTATTACAGCTTCTATTTAAGACCATGTTAAAAGGTACATGTTTGAAATGGAAGAAGCAAAAAATATATCAAGATGATATAAATACATGAGATTGAAAGGGGTTCAACAAACTACAACTAGCCAAGAGAATTTAACAGGGATGCTGGAAACTAAAACCACTGTAAGAGACCTTACAAAGTGTGTCTTACAGAAAATTCGCAGGACGCCTATGAAGAAACTTACAAAGGATTACAAAGACCACAAATAAATGAAGCTAGACATTATGAGAAGCCCAAACATGGTAAATATGTTAATTATCCAGAAATTCATCTATATGTTCAATGCTACCCCAATCAAAATCCCTTCAGACATTCCACCCAACACTTCACTGAAGTTAGGAAGCTGGTCTACACGAAAGACTAAAGAACCCAGGAAACCTTGTAGGAAAACGAAGTTACTGACTTCCTGTAGAAGTGTGATATTGTGATAGCATACACACAAATGGATGAGGAGCTAGGAAGGATAGACGGCCCTGTAAGTCACTGCCTATTACACACTAATCTGGAAAGGATTTTCCTCAGCTGCTGAACACATGGAAAAAGAATTAGGTTTCTTCTGCACAAATAAAAACAAACTCAGGATGGATTAAACAAAAATACACATGAAAAGAAAAACTAAAAATGTTTACAAGGAAATAGAAGATTGTGTGACACAGTAGTTGGGACGAGTTTTTCAAACAAGAGAGCAAACGTCAAAGGAAAAGCCTGACACATCTGACTGCACACTGTTGTGTGACCAAAGGACAGACACAAACCTAGAAGGCACTGATAGAACTTGTGGCCAAATACTGGAAAAACTACTCATTTCTAGAAGTTGATTTATTACTGACAATAAGCCCCAAATAGCAAACTGAACATTTGCTAAGAAAAGTTGCAGAGAAAAGAGGACAAAGCCAATAAATGCATTTAAAGAACAGACCTCACCGTTCTCAGAAATGCAAAGTAAATGCTGTTTCCCAAACCTTGGCTGGAAAGAAACAGCACCTGATACTCCTGTATTGGCTAAGTTTCGGGTAACTCTCAGCATTCCCTTTACACGGCCAGGGACAGAGGGCACCATGACTGGGTTAGGCTGGTTCTGGGCCACGTCCAGCAGGCCTGAATCAGGGTGCACACCTGGACCAAGCACCCATTTCTGGGAGTCGTACTCCACTGCTTATAAATAATTTTCTTCATCCGTTCACCTATTTACAGACACACAGGCTACTTTCAAGTTAATGTTTTGCTAATGCTACAGATCCTATTGTTGGCAACTATCACAATTGGTAACCACTAATCAGTAACACTTTTTATTAAAAAAAATGACTCCTTAGAGTTCAAACTTGGGCTACATGGTCTACATTTGATAGGAAAACTATTTTGTGACTTAGTAAATTTACTTTCCAAATCCAAGCCCTTAGAGCATTGCAGTTTTTCCTTTTTGTGGTGTGGGGGGTCAAACCCAGGGCCTTGTGTGTACTAGACAAGCACTCTGCCTCTGGGCAAGAGCTGCAGGCCCATGTTTTGAGGGGAGCACAACCGCAAGTTCTGAAAGAAGCCGCCTAGGAATTAAATGACCTGCATGACTGCGGTAAATGTGCCATCTTCTAATCCACTGTCCCACAGAAGTTGCTGCGGGGCAGAATCACCTACAACTGTTACTGCATTGAATGTTTAGTTGTTTGAATTTCTGATCATGCACAGGTAACTCTTATGTCCCAAGTACTGCTAAACAGTAATTCATCATTTATCTGAAATTTGAATTTAACTGAGCACTCTGTATTTTTATTTACTGACACGTCACTTTCCCACTCTTCCAGTAAGCAGAGCTTGCTCTTTGGTGCTGGCTCTCTTACCTTTGCTAAAAAGAAAACTAAGTCCTCTCGGAACAAATTACAGAAACTGCTGAATGTAAAACTAAAATTTGCTAGGAGATCCACTGTCTACTGCAACAAGAAGCCTGTCCATGGATTACGCTCACTGCCATAGTGACAGCCTCAGCTGAGTAACTGATGAGGATGAGGTGTGCACACCTCATTGCAGGCACTTTTATTTTGAAGTCTAAAGTGGGTTAGCCTCCCCATCCGTGATTAGGCCGCCTGCATAGGCACTGCTAAAACTTAGGGGAGCTCCCAAGGCACAAATCTCAAGCACTGACCTATCTTAAGTGGCCACTGCCTGCCCCCTAAAATTCACCCACTCTGCTTTCCTGCTGTGTGGCTGGTGATTGGATTACCACTCTGGTCATCCCTCCTCCTCTGTTAGCCCATGCAGTGTCCTCATTTCCAGCTCCTTTTCTTCTCTCTGTAAGTTAAAGTTTTGCTCTGGATCTGTTTCCTAGCAATGGTTTCCTTGCTCATTTTGGTTTGTGATCTGGAAAGGCAGCCTGAATATTTATGTTCTTTATCTGACATTTGTTCCCTTCACCTGCAACATAGGGCTCTGTTCTTCCAGGATGACCACCTCCCTAATCCTTCCTTCATCAGCAGTCAGCAAAGCTGACTCCTGATGCTTTCTCCTCTGTGCTGTATGGGCATTTGCTGGCACCTGGGGCAGTGAAACCAAATCTCAGGACCAGCCTGAGTCAGAATCCACATTGGAAAGAGATGCCCAGACACTTTACAAGTGAGTGACAACTGGTCACTCATGCACACAAATCAAGGATCTAAATTGTGTCGATGATTTTCAGTTTGTAAAGCTGATTTCTAATATCTTACCAATTACCTGATTGATGAGTCACATAAGAATCTTCAATATGTGTTCATTTATGTCTACACGACAGTCATGATTGGGCCCCCTTTTCTTTTGTGGAAAATTATCTTTTAACACAGGACAAGATCAATTTGCTTCAGGCAATCATTTTGGCCAGTGTATCTAGACTCTTCAACAGAAGAAAAAAGATCTAAAAAAAAAAAAAAAAATTCACCAATGACCTGCTGAACAGCTTGTTCCCAGTGGCCAACTACAACGGAAGGCTTATTAATCAAAACCAAGCTCCACTCCTTTCCCAGGTCCTTGAAGTTTTGCCAATCACCAGCCACACAGCAGGAAAGCATAAGCCTCCAGAGAGGACCCAGCCTCCCCAGAACTCTCTCCAGACCATTGACGTCCCTCCCCAGTGCTTCCCTGACTTCTTCCCATCCAGCTTCTTCTCCTTTCATGAAATAATCCTTTGCAATAGTCTCACCTTGCTAAGCCCATAGTTGTTTGTCATTTTCTCTTTAGTAAGAATTCTGCATTTTGGACTTTCTCCTGCTTATCATTTCTTCAGAACCATACTAGAGTGCGATTCTTGTGACTCTAGGTTTAACGTTTATTCTTTTCATAGCTCTTGACCCAAAGGATCAATAGAGGAGAAAATAAATGTACAGTACATTGGTCACACACCTCAAGTAGTAAACAAAAATTTGCTTCTTCTAATTTGAACATGGCCAGTACAGGAAACTATTCAGCTTATTGTCACTTCTCAGTTTCAAAACGAGCAATTAAGTGCCACTTCTTACTATCCATCATCACAGTACAGAAGTCAGACGGAAGTCAGTCACACTAGACTGCTTCTTGCCTGCCTGAAGTCGCTGAAGCAGCACACCATCATCACTGATGGCACGCCTGTGACCTGGCCAGAAACGTAACTGGCCAGAACAACCGCATCTCCTGGGGACATAGCTCAGGTGCACCGCATCTGCCTGGCAAGCACAAGATCCTGAGTTTGATTCTCAGTACACCTCCACCGCTCTCAAAAACAAGAACCAAAAAACAACTGCAGAGGGAGCTGAGGATAAGAGTACTCTCCCTTTCATTCTCATATTTGGAGGGCAGACAAGACCAAACATATTCCAATGTAATGATTTCCCTTAATACAGCTATGACTTTAACCAGTTCTGCAAGAGGCTTCTGCAAGTACTTCGTCACACAAAGGATGCTGAATGATCCTGAAGGTGAATTGTAACCCTGCCGTTTAAAAAACAAAACAAAACAAAACCCAACTTCCACCTCTTCCTGCAAAATAAGTCTGGACCCCAGCATGGTGTAAGCTGTTTTAAATGCCACATATCTAGGTCACAGTACCCTGTCTACAAAGTTTTCTTCTACTTTACCACGTCCTCTGCGTGGAAAGCCCGGGACCTGACACCCCCATAGGACACCAGCAGCACCTCCTTCGGGCCAGGACCCTACAGCCTCCCCAAGCGCTACTGTCCCCGTGCTCCTCCCTGCTAGGGAACACTCCAAGCTTTTTCACACCGTCACCTCTCCAGGGCGCCAGCCGAGCACTGCCTGGCGTTAACTTCATCACCCAGTGTAAACGCCTTCAGGGCCTTCCTTTCTGGGCCGAATGGCGCGCTCTCCTGCTACGTGTTCCCTTTCCTACGATGACTGGGCCCCGGGAGAGCCTGGGACCCCGGCTGCATTAACCGCTGGGATTCCTCTAATGAGCAAACCCTGCAGCTTAACAGACGGAAGCCCGCTTCCGAGAGAAACCCCGATCCCCACAGAGGCTCCTTGCCGCGGCTCCCGCGAGGCCCTGGGGACCCCAACTCCCGGGGCGGCCCAGGCAGCAGGATCCTGGTTCCCACCCGGCCTCCGTGCCAGCAGCACCGCCAGGGCTTCGGATCTAACAACTGCGAACAGCGAGAAAGCTGCAGGCGGCGCTCAAGGCCCCATGGACCCACGACGAGGCCCGACTCCCGCCGGGAGACATAGGACGACGCCGAGCGGGGTGCACCCACGGGCCGCGGGGAAGCAGGGGATCACCAGGGTCGCCGACAACTGCACATCCCCAAGGGGGCCCCAAGCTGCCGGTGAGCCCCCGCACCTGGCCACACTCCTTCAGCGCGCGTCCACTCACTTCCGGCTTGTCAGGGCGCTGGCACCGAGGGGACGGCGAGCCAGCAAGAGAGGCCGGCGTCACCATAGAGAGGAGCAGGCGGGAGCCTAGAGCGGCGCGAGGTCGGCCGGCTCCGGCGGGAACCCGGGAATGAGCGGGGCTGATACTCGCTCTCTTTTTTCGGGTTGTCCCCGGGGCTGCCTCTTACCAGACACAGTTCCACCGAGTCAGCACTGTGCACGAATGCCAGTACTGGGCACCCAGAGTCCCCAACGCTCGGATGTAGCACAGCCACTTCCTCTGCGGGCTGCGCCCCGACTTCAGCATTGCAATAGCGGCTTTCCACCTGGGCGTCGGGTTGCCATGGAGACGGCGGTCCGTCCGGCAGGCCCGCAGCAGGCCGCCAGTGGGCGCTCGGGAGCGCGAACCAGCTTCCACTGGGTCGGGGCTCAGCCCAGAGCTGGAGTTCTGGGCTCTTTCACACTCAAGGCCGCAAAATTTCAAAGTAGTGTTGAAGGTGGGGCAGGGAAGAAGATGAAGTCCGTCACGGCCCGTGATGCCAGGTGTTGCATGCACCTGCTGTCTGTCGGCCGCGGTCCCTCCCATAGCTTCCCTTCAGGCTCCACATCCCCAGTGGGTGTGTGTCAGATTTGTAGTTAAACCTGGGAAGGCCACAGGAGCTGCAGGTAGTTTCTTCTGCTTACGCTGCGGTTGGGAGGTTGTGTTAGGGACACTGAGTTGACATGGGTGCTTCTTCTTCTGCTGCCCACAAAGGTGTGATTGCCCATCACAGTTATGTGATGCATGCCATAGGAGAGACACAAAGCAGGATGTCATAAGAGGCCCTGTTGTGCAAGGACGGTCTAGGAGGCTTGGAATGTGCAACTTCGGTACTGCAATGTACCTTCAAGTAGCCTTCTAAGCCAGGTGTCCTACAGGTGATGAGACAGAATACCTCCTCCCAGATCAAACAAAAATTCTGTAGTAACAAGGCTTATTGAGTCAATTTAAATAGCCAGCGAAAAGCAAGAACCCATAGTAGTAAGCTGATACACTCAAGATGTACAAGCCGTGAAAGGCCATGTGTCCTGTCTGCCACAGTAGCCTTCTCCGGTGATGGGACCCTGCTGACAATTGGGGCTGAGGCTTTGGGAGGGAGACCCAGAGGGAGAAGATGCCTCAGGGCCTCGACACATGCTCACTCTACTGGGTAGAAGCACACAAGTATGCCTGTCCCCAACACGAACTGATGAGTTAGGGTGCCTAAGAGACATAGGTTTTATTTGCATGCCCTGGGTAGAAAAATATGAGACTATTCTAGGTGTCATCCATGCGTGGATGTGTGGCTGGTGAGGGTTGACAGTTGTCAGTTCATGATGGTTCATAACTTTTTCCATCCTTTTCGGCTTTAAGTGACCCTCTGTTTTGTCATGTTTTCTATTTATGTTAATTTGGGCATGTCTTATAGTTTACTAACTTACTATGTATATTTAACACAGTGCGGCCTGTGTTTCACAAAGCCTATGCTTACTCATATTCTATATTTAAAACCTCCTGGGAACTGTGCATTTGTCTTATAAGCTACTAGCTTGCTTACTGCCTACAGTTAACACATCTTAAGAGTTTCATCTATGTCTAATTAAATTGCAAAGGAATTTGATGTGGCTGGAGTAGAGATCGGGGAAGGCAAGGAGGAGACAAATTTTGCTGTTGTAATATCAGAGAGACTGAGTTTTTGGTTTTTTTTTTCTTCTGATGAAAACTGAAACTAAGAAGGTGAAGGATGGGAGAAGTACAGTTAGACAGTGGCTCTGGGTGAGAAATGATTCTTTCCCTTCCGCTCACTCCTGGACATTTGACACTATCTGGAGACATTTTCACTACCGGCTCAGGGTTGCTACTGCGTCCTACAGCACACAGGACAAGCCCCCACCACAGCAGTTATCTGCCTGAATATTTCAGTGCTGCCAAGATTGAGAGACACTGCACTAAAGGGATTAAGAAGGCTTAGGGAGGATAGGAATTAAGCAAGAATAATTAGTAGCATATTGTAATTGATTAAATACAGATGTTAAAATGCAGGAGATGATGTTAGGACTTGAGTTTTGGTAACTGGAAGGACAAAGAGGGACCTGGTTTGGGGAGAACAGAGACTGGGATTTGTATGTTGGTTGTGCTGCATTGGAGACAACCAAGGAAATTCACACTGGGGAGGTGGGAGGGAAAAGCTCAAGGTGTGAGGCAGACTGGACTTGGAAGATAAGACTTCAGGCAAATATTAGGTTTGGGGTAATAATAGTTTTATTTTTGGAGATAGGATGATGTTAGAAAGATGAATTACCCAAGGAATATCCAGGATAAGACAAGAAAGAATAGAGCTGAACATTGCTCCGTATTTGCGGGGCATCGTTTTATTTAACTGAATCAGAATCTCTGACTCCGGGCTCGTCTATCAGGTCAGAATCTCTGAGAGGAGGTCCATTAGTCTGCTCTTTAAACTGGCCCCAAGGAGTGACCATAATAAAATGCAAACACAGCAGCCTAGCTTTCAGCAGAGGAATCTGAGAAGCAGGACAATTCACCAGCAGAAGAGTTCCACAAACCAAGACAGGGCTCTGTCAGCAGAAAAGCTTGCTGGAGGGCAGTACTGGCCATTAGCAGAAGAATGTGAGTCACATAGGGAATTGCACATTTTCCAGTAGAAATGTTAAGAAGGTAAAAGGAAGCAGGTGAGATTAACTTTGTACATATAATTTTAACCCCAAACCTCTAAAACACTCATTTAACATGTAATTAGCATAAAAACTAATAGGTATGTTGCATCCTTTTTAGAAAGTATTAAGAAAAAACATATGTACATAAATAAACAACATATGCCTACATATGCCTATATATATATATATATATATATATATATATATTAGTTAAGATAGTTATGCTGCTATGCTGCTTGTTTCTCTAAGTTTACTGAAGAGAATGGCCTGTGCTGGCATTGTTTGGCAACTGAATGCAGATGTCCTGTGTTCTGGGTGAATGATTTGGGGATGACACTGTGCATTGTGTATACCCTTGTGGCCCCTGATTGACAGGTTTTCAAATTTTGTTTTTTCTTCTTCCTTTTCCTTTGTTTCTCATTGAAATAAAATGGATTTGAAGAAAAGCATTAAGTTTTGCATACTGGGTGTGTGAAGCCCACCACTGTACAAGTGACCAGTGGTTTCATGGGGCTGGTGGCTACCATTTTGGAAAGCACAGCCACAGAATATCCCAAAAGAAGGACATTTCCCAAACAGCTTTACTGTGTTAAATATGAGGGATTTTTTCTGAATCTCTGAGTATGAAGTTTAAGAGCATAAAACACAATTCAAGTTTTTATTTAGGTTTAAACACTTGGATTTTTCCTTATGTAGAATTACCTTCCTACTAGAAATAACTAGACAATTGGGAAAATATATGAAATAACAGTTTTCAGACCTTGGACAACAGGAGATTCAAGATCATGAAGGGAAACAAATGTAAAATTCTGCAGCGATGCCACCCTGGAGGGATGTCCAGGTGTAGACCAGGGAAGAGACCCACCGGAAGCCAGGAAAGGAGACACAGATGGGAACTGAGGGTGGCAGTGGACCGAGGTCCAGGGAGGAGGAAGTAGCACACAAGGACAGTCAGCATCTGCAGGAATATTTCCTGGGTCTTGCACTGAGTGCTGACTGAGCTGGGCAGGGATGAAGCTCTGTAAGGTTGGGATAAAAAACACCAACAGCTAGAAACCAATTTTTAGTACTTATCCATGGCTGGACTTAATTTGTTTTCCAATTTAGGGGGAGACGGTTGTGTTTGTGTTGATGTGGGGAAGATGGCCGTAGCTGTGCTGCCACCTGAAGTGGAGTTTGAGAACAGAAGCAAAATTTTGCCAAATGCTTCTGTTTGCAAACCAAATTGTTTGCAAACAGAAGCATTTGTGAAACAAGGTATTACTGTAGTTTGTATTCCCATCAGCTAGAGAAGGAAGATCTTGTATTAAGCCACTTGTTAGTCTCTACCAATCAAAAAATAACAGTTAACAGCTGTCCTAGTTAGGGAAGCAAGCACAAGATTAAACACCTGGTACTTACATAGGCTGGTACTTGGTTTTCACCCCCGAGACAAGTATCTGACACCCACATCATAAAGGAGGAGAGGTCTATTTTGGCTCACAGTTTCAGTCCACCATCAGTAAGCTCCAGTGCAGAACACGGAGAAGTGTCTGCCACAGAGAAAACGTACTCACATCATGGTGACCAGGAAGCAGAGATAGAAGTGCGAGGAGCCAGGGAGAATCTGTCCCCTTCCAGGTTACATCTCAGTTGTTGATATCTGGCCAGGCCCCACCTCCAAGCAGCTCATTTGCCTCTGACAAGGTTAGCGCCCTGTGCTACAGCCACCTCCCAAAAGCCCCACCCCTGGACACTGGAGAACTTCAGGAGACATTCTCGATCTGAATCATAATAGCCCACCTCTGGATCTCCAAAGACTCATGTATATCTGCCTTAGTCCCTTTCTCATCACTAGAATGAAATACCAAATACCTGGAATTCCAAGAAAGAGAGGTTTTTACTTTGGCTCGTGCTAAGAGTCTATGACTAGCAGTATCAAGGTAGGAGGGGCATGATAGAAGGGTATAGCAGGATAGCTTTTTATATCACAGTGGCCAAAAAGCAGAGTGAACAAAGGGGCCAGGGAAAGGAGACAGACCTGTCCAGAGTACTCCCCTGTGGACCGGCCTCTGCTGACCAGATCCACCTCTTAACAGCACGCTGACCTGCTGAACCCATTAGTCAATGAATGCATGGGGAGTATAGCACCCCAAGATCTAATCACTTTCCAAATTTGAGGGAATTTTGAAGGACAATTCTAGATGTAAGTCATAACAGTATTTCTTTACACAAAATGCATTTTTTTCCAGCTTCAAGATTTACCAGTTTTAACAATTCTAGCATTGCTGAAAATCCTAGTAATGAGTGTCCTTTAAAACTCAAGGTAAATTCTTAACTGTGAGACCCTATAAAAACCAAAAAGAAAGTTAAATACTTTCAGCAATCAATGGCATAAGCAAATATCTCTATTCCAAAATGAGAAAC